ACTTTTCTTTAAATCCAAATAAAATGCCTGATGTTTCCATTCTAACTTTTTAACTCCTACTGGCCTAACTATCTGTGCATTTCTACCTGCGCACTGTGCAGTGTGCATAAACTTTCAAATCTTACAAACTATAAATATACATAAAACATGAGGAAATAAATCACAATATTATTTTAATACAACTGTACTTTTAAAAGTAATACTTTTGAGAAAAAACTCGGTAACTATGAAGACCACTGTATCTCTCAAATTAAAACCATGTTGTAAATTGCATGGTAAAGCTTTTGCATAATAAATGCAATGAATAAAATTGGCGAACTTAAAGCATTTTGCAAATAATTGCAATGTAAAAGTTGCAATAAATAAGAAAGGTTGCAATAATGTTGCAAAAATTAAAGATATCGCTGCAAAAGTTGCAATAACGTTGCAAAATGTGGCAAAACGTTGCGAAATGGAATAAATTGCTGAAACTTCCAAGAAGGCAAATTTCATTAGTTGCAAAAGAATTGAGTTGCAGAAACTTCCGAAAAGGTAAATTTCATAGGTTGCGGAAACTTCCAAAAAAATGGAAAATTTCAAATAAACCTAAATAAAGGTTTATGCTTACTTTTCCGGGCAGAACCACAGATGAAGAGATGAACTTGCAATAAAGATGCAATTAAAGGGCAGGCTCCAAATTAGAATGTCCTGTCCTTCAGCTCAAGTTTCGTTTTGTTTGTCGCTAAATATAAAAATCATTAGCTTTAAGCAAAAAACGTAATTCTTAAAGCTATATCTAGCTCAAACAAATTATTAATAATGTTAAATTTAAGAAAATCAAGAAATAAGGATTCTAAGGATTCTATTTAAGAGAATCAAATGTTTTAAACCTCAATTATCTTCAACAATTTAAAGAAATAAAGATTCTAAGGATTCTATTTAAGAGAATCAAACTTTTTAAATCTCAATTATCTCCGGCAATCCACAAAGATAGAAATAAAGATTCTAATCAGAGATAATAACATTTTACGACTTTTCTCGTGAAACATTAGTTTTGGCTCATTAAAGTTTAAGGCTCATTTTCACACCAAGAATAAAGAAGTAAACATGTTTATACCGACCTCTAAGCTCCGGATTCACAACACAACTGGCGTGTTTGTTTACATTTCCATTCATCAAAAAATAATATTTGTAAACAAACATAAATAAGGAATACATAAAAAATATTCTGTTGACAATTATTAACCAGACAAAATTTTCATACAACAAAGATTTTGCAGAGACTCCCAATGTCGTTTAAAACTGTTGCATGGTACAGAGAAAATAATTAATGGATGGCAGTTACCTGTGGAGTAGGGGCATAGCCGCACTCAAACAGATATTGTTGAGGAACTGAAAATCTTAATAATTTTAATATAGTTTAGTCATTCATGCAAGAGATGGTGCTATTTATTTTAATCTACTGCCGTTTGAACTATTGAGTTTTTGAACTATTTTTTTGCATATTTAAACATATTTTTTCTCATTTTAACAATTATTTTCTCATTTTAACTATCTTTTTTGTTCATTTCAACTATTTTTTTGGTTCACTTGAATTATTTATTTTGGTCATTTTGAACTATTTGTTCTTATTTGAAAGCTATGTTTTGGTTAATATTTGAACTTAATTTTTTTGCTCATTTGAACAACTTTTTTCTTATTTTAGTCATTTTTATGTCCATTTGTGAAATAATTTTTTGATCATGTAAACTATTTTGTGATGATTGTTTGACCTAGATGTTTGCATGAAATACATTAAAAATTTTAAACTGCCTATTTAATAGTTCAAATGAGTAAATGTTTTGAAGTACAGGAAATAACATGATTATCAGTAGTTGGAATGAACAATAGTTTACAACAATCAATAGTTCAAATGATTCAAACAGCAATTATATATCAAATGCGGATCGGCCGCAATTGAGATAGATAAATAAACCATTTAAATTTAAAGAATTTGATTGGCGGTTTAAATATAAGCCGCAGCTTAAATATCGTTTCAGTTGTGTCAAATGTTTCAAGATTTAAGCCGGCTCTTAATTTAAACTGGGTTTTGGCAGATTTAAACTGCGGCTCAAATTCTTTAAATTCCATCTTATGTTATCAATAATAAATGATTTTTAAATTATCTGATTTATCAAAAAAAAAATACAATTCATACCTGGATCCATTTATGCACCAATGGTAATCCCTGAGAAAGAACATCTCTACAAAAAATTGTGCAGCAGTGCAGAAGACCTTGAAAAATGTGATTTTTTAAAGATAAAATACTGGACATATAATAAATATAAAATCAATCATCATCCCTTGGAAAACTTCACATTACAAAATTACATTTGAGAAGGGGGGCGGGGAGGGGGATCCCTTTCCCTATAAAAAAAAATTTATTATGGCGGTGCGATGCACTTTTTTACTCAGCAATTTTATTATTATTGAAACTAAAAACCTCACCTTGGCAGCATTAGACTCAATATCAAGAAGAAAATCATTTCCTGTCCCAACCTGCCAGTCACCACTAAAAAAATTGTATCATGAATACATATAGATTCAGATGCTTATAATAAGTCTCAATTTTTAAGACAGGATCACCATACAGTGTCACAAAGCCTGGGGCTTTGATTTTACTGCTCTAACTCAGTTACATTTTATCACAATAGTAAAATGGAAACTGTACTTCACCTTATATCCATATACATCTCTCCAGCTCCATTTGGGTAAGCAAAGATTACCGAACCCCCAGAAAATCGGAGTGTTACATTAACAGCTAACCATAGCCTATTCATGATGATAGTTTATAGCTAGCTGAAGTTTTGGAGGAGTTGGACTTTCAGCTAAACACATCCTATTATAGAATGAACTACTTTGTTTAAAGGGAAAATAACGGGAAAATAACAATATTTCACCCTGTAAACTTGTTTAAAAACATTAAAAGTGATATGTTTGCCGATTCATGTATATTGTATAAGTCCTCTTTTCAATTAACATTTGATTGAAAAATATCAAAAGTTCATTTAGAGTGTGGCTAGCTGAAATTGGCAGAAACTAAACTATCTAACTATACTAACTAACGGAGTGTGACATTAACAGCTAACCATAGCCTATGCATCATGATAGTTTATAGCTAGCTGAAGTTTGGAGGAGTATGACTTTCTTGTCAACTAAACACATCCTATTATAGAAAGTTGATATTCTAGAATGACGAATGTAATTCATCTCATATAATTAGTGTGTGTTTAGCTGAAGTTGGCAAACTTAATTAAACTAACTTATTACTATCTTTCTAATTTTTTCATTGGTTTACGATACATACCCAAAAAAATCCACTCCATTAACCTGAAAAATAGACATTTTTCATAATTAAAAAATTTCTTGCTAATAATTTTTTGCAGAAATGTTAATTTTGCAAAAACGTAACCATCTTAAAAAATACCTGAAAGCTTTATATCCTCTGTCAAACAGATGAAATTTAAAATAACCCGGTGTAGCTTCCAGGATGGATTTAATTCCACCCATCCCTGGTGTCTCCTCCATTACACAAAAACGCATGATTCTCTCATCTCCACATCTTGGACTGAACAGATTAAAATAGTAAGATGTATTTGGGGAGAGGGGAGGGGGCTGGAACCATGTGCACCTCTATAAAGGCCACCCCCCTCCCGCCCCACATAAATAAGTTGATTTTTTTAGGTAACAGTAAAACTATTTACTATGAAACTACATCAAACACACTTAAATTTCAATATCGTCTTTCTATTCCACAATTTTCAGGTTCACATGGTAGCACACTTATATTACCTTATACTCCCCTTTAGTTGATATACTAGCTGTGGAGTACCATCCAGATTACAACATGCTACCTTTACCACAGTGTTTCCCTAAATGTAAATAAAAATGTCAATGAGGTTGTCACCCAAAATTTTTTAGATCTTTGGTGGAGTTATCTTGGTAAATATATCTTGGAACTGAGTTTTTACAATAAACTCTTAATTCTTAAAATCCTTTTATCTTTGGAACCTGATGGCTTAAACTTTTGATATTTATAACTTATTAGCTTTTTTATCTAAAAGTATTCATTAAAGGAAATATTACAGGTCTGACATGGGGTTGCATAAATATAGAGATTTAAGAATTGAGTTTGTGGAAAACACACATTTCCTTAAGAAATAAATAAAATTCACCTTGATTTTAGTGGAGTAGGAATTTCTTTGAAAGGTGTGGTTCTCTGACTTGGGAATCTTGATGTGTCTAAAGTTAATTTTTTATTACATGTTTTAAAAACTTCGAAAATTCCATGAAGTTAAATTTTTAATTGTCTAAGACGTTAATTCTCACCTTGAATCCCATATCCAGACGGTGGTTTTCAGGTTTCCCAGCTGGGGGTTCCTGGCGACTGCCACATTCTTGAGATGATCCACTGAACAATTAAAACAATTTTAAAGATATTGCAATAGAGTTTTATGTACATAAAACTCTATCTGGATTTTTAATTTTAAAAAAGCTCTGCAAAGAAATCTTGAAATAATTGCCAAACAGTCCTAAAACATCAAGAAAAACATAAGCTTACCCGTAACGGTAAACTGGTTACTGAAAAAAGAGAGTTTTCATTTAGGAAGACATTAAGTTTGTATCCAGATCAATTTTTTTACCTCAAACTCCGATTCCTTTCGCAAAACTTGCTGTTCTGGTATATAAATTTTTCAATTTGTACTACCATTTTGTGGACTGCCGACTGTGATACCCCAAAAGCGGAAGCTAATAATCTAAAAATGTACGATTTATCTCCAATTTCTCTAATGATGTTATGATGTAAACCATGTTTCAGTAGCCCCTTTTTTCAAGGGCTTTACAAATGTAAAATATTAAAAGCTATATTAAAAGAAGTAACATGTGAATTTTTCAAACATATATTAGAATATTACTAGGGATGGAGACTCTTTTTTTACCAGAAACCTTAAAAATTTAAAACAATTTGCTATAAAGAAAAACAGATGAAACTGTTTTACCATCATTTTTTTAAACCGAAAAACGATCTGACAGACCGATGGACAGACAACGCCCATTTGCAAGATATCACATAGTTTTAGTACAATTGCTTATTAATAGCTAATGAGATTTTATAAAATGAAATGAAAAGTGAACTTCAATTGATATAATATATACCATCAGAAGGATGGTGAGGATATTTTATGAGGAATAATGCAGTAGCTGAGTCCAGAGTAAACTTCTTGAGCTGATGCCCCTGTAGAGCATCATGAGTAAATGTGTCCCTGAAACAATAGTTTATTGATAAATGCTTATGTGCTTATGGTTTCCAGTGCACGAAAAGGAAAATAGTTTTTCAAAAAATTTTGCATTTTTCTCATTTCTTTTGCTTATTAAAAATTCAAAAATTTTCAATTTTTTTCAGGAAATTTTTGCTTTAATCAAATGCAGAATTTTTGTGAAGAAGGAAATGCAAAAATTTCTCCAAAAAACCAAAAAAAACTTTTTTTGGAGTACAATGAATTTTTTAATTCCAATTTTTTCAATCCAATTCAAGCCAATTCAAGCCAATTCAAGCCAATTCAATCCATTAAAATTTAATTCAATAGGCACACCCTAGTTTCACAGTCCATTAGGATTTTTATCCAATAAAACACAAGCGCGATTTTTCGACCAATAGTGATAGTGTGCTATCTATCTATCTTCAGCGCTCAATGGCGCCGGTGAATTTATCTATCTATCTTCTTGTATCTAACTATCTTTCTTGCTATCGCTGCAGTAAACATGATTTTGGGACCCAAAATGACGATGAAGTCGTATTTCGTTAGCAGCCACAAACTACAGATTTAATATTTTGATGGATGATTTTTCATATTCAGAATTATATAAATACTAGTCTTAATTGTGAATATGTTCTCTTTGTGTACATCGTAAAACAAAACAAAAAATAATTTGCGGATTTTCACATAAAATTTCGTGGATTTTCAAAATTTTCAAAAATTTAATGAAGATTCATAAACCTTCCCTGGGGATTCTTCCTTGTTTTTTTACTTATGTTTTAAGCTCTTGTGCCAAAATTGTGGCCTCAGTAAACCCATAAAATACACGGTATTCTCACTGTGTGCATTCTTAGTTCCAGCATTCAATATATTAAAAATCATTTTTGGTGAAACCTTACTAAAATTAAAATATAGGCTAAGTATTATTTAATTATTTATTTCCAAATATGTAAAACAGTTAAATATAGCATATGGCAAAATCCAACACTACAACTAATATAATAATCTAAATGTATAAAAATGTTGATTGCAACCTTTGAGTAAAATGGTGAACTTTGTTACAAGCAATATAATTCAAGATTTGCACGTCATTTTCAGTTACAACTTTCTCACATTGATTACGGAGAGTACGATTTGAAAGCGTCCCACTTTACCCAGACAGAACCAACACTAGGCTGAGAGAATATCAGAAATATGAAGACGACATTTAAAATATTTATTATTCCTGTGAGGTAGAGTAAGCATTATAGTTAAACTGTGCGAGTTGGGGAAACTTTTACGTTTTAAATTGAGACAAATTTGTATTGCAAGGGGTACTAATGTATCTTAATTGTACGAATATGTATCCTCTTGGCTTAATGGACTTGTAGAATGTCGTCTTCTTAATATATTCGAGCCTGGTGTTTGTCCAGTCTGGATTATGTATCTAGTGTATGACCTTTTGGACATTTAACCAATAACCATTTTATGTAATAAATTTCCATAATTTTGGCATAAAAACGATTATTATATACTTGCCATTTAATATGTTGACAAATGATGCGTAAAGTATAACGCAAATTATAAACTATATGAAGTCGATCATTTCCATCTGAAAGGATATTTATATGTTCATACCGAAATGTTAAAAAAAATGGTTAACATTAAACTAAAAAAATGTTATGTATCATGCTAAATATTTTAATAACGACCATGCATAAAACAACTTCCCAAATCAAATCAAATCAAATCAAATCAAATCAAATCATAAGTTGTAGGGATGGCCAAAGGCTCCAATTGTAGATACAGAGCATATCTCCACAACAAACAATTCAAATCCTGAAAGTAGAGTAAATAAACGATTAAAAATTTAAGAATAACATGAGCAAGGTTACAAAACTACTGTCGACAGTTAAAAACTAGCTTTACAACAGGTTTACATATCATTCAAATGTTTGTTTCGCATTTCTAAATGGTCCTTCAAAATAACTGATTTTCGTCTTGAACTGTGCAATGTCTATAACATTGATATCTTGATCTCACATTTTGATTTATAGACTTTTTTTGGCATTCTCAACCTCGTCCAGTTCAAGAATGTCATCTTGATAACCAGAATCTTTCTTGACAGAAACTCAGACACTGAGAACTCTGAATTAGTAAATAAGTAACATATTGGTTTGTAATGGATGAATTGATGAATAGATGAATAAATGAATAGATGAATAGATGAAATGATGAAAAGATAAATATATGATTAGATGTATAAATCAATATACGATTTTTAAAAAGATCTATTGAAGATTAATCAGTTTCAGATAACAATTTAGTGATACATTACTTATCCACGTAAATTACAAGCTAACCTTATTCTGCTTTGTTCGATTTACTTTTTTAGTTATTTTATAATTTTACCTGAAAACAGGTCATCTTCTAAATCGTTGGATTCTTGGTGCATTTTCCTCCTCTACGTGTTCAAGAAAAGTCTGAATTAGTAAATAAATTACATATTTGCTATACAATATATTTCAATGTAACTTTCCCCAAAAAAAAACGACTAACCAGCTATTTAAGGTACTTGAACTGAGTATGCAGTGTTTCGATGAAAAGATCAATGTTCATTCTCTTAACATGTTCCTATACATGACGTCAATAGTTTATTGCAGAATTTTTTTACATTTTATGTGGTCGTTATTAAATAGTTTAAAAACACTAATTCTGAAAACGTATCCAACCCCAAAGTAGGAGTTTTGAACTTCAAATTTGCGCTCAAACTCAGGATTTACAGATCTTTAAACAGTTTAACATGTCTCAAATGACTGCAAGAACTTTTTCACAGCACTGCATACTCAGTTCAACTACCTTACATAGCCGGTCATTCCCTTTAACCTTCAATTCTGACGTAAAAATGAATAGATGAATCTTTAACCTTCAATTCTGGCGTAAAAATGAATAGATGAATAACTGATTAGACTTATAAAAATATATAACAAACTGATTATAGATGTTTATATGAATAGGCAAATAACTGAAACATGTATTTTAAAAACCTACCTTTCTAATACTAGGGGCTTGATGGCATAGACAGTTAATTGCAAGTTCAATAGACTCAGGCTTACAATCCAAAAGTACTCAAAAACATTTCGAAAATTGAAATGGATGTTTATTTTTTATAAATCAAACAATCCCACAATCAAACACTAGATAAATCAATCATTCAGTTGTGGATCAATTTAAAATTCAATCCATTACTCAATTTAGTGAGAACTTATCAAATAAATCAATCAATCATCAAATCAAATAATCAGTCCATCAATTTATCAGTCTATCAATCAATAATTCAACAAACAGGTTAAAAACTTACCAATGGTTCTTGGTTTCTATGTTCACTGAAGATTACATTCAGAATAGAGTTCCATCTCGGCAGTTATCAATTTTGTAGTATTAAATAACAAAACTAATTTTGCCATCCCCAAAACAACTATTATTTTTTGTATAAAATGCATATACTAATAACAATACAATTATTACCAATAATGAACAAACCCTCTACTTTTTGGTACGGTCGCCATCGTCAGATCACGGAGAGTAAGTTCAGAATATTCATAGTCGCAATGAAGGGAATATATTTTGAAAATAAAACAACTAATTCCAATAATGAATCTACCATCTACCTTTGGGTACGGTCGCCATCGCCAGATCATTGAAAGTAGATTCAGAATTTGTATTGTTGCAAGTCAATTCAGAAATTGTATGCATCTTATCCAAAAACTAAGTTATCTTTTAAAAACAAGCATGTACATAACATAAAGTGGGGTTTTATACAAGACCAGGGAATGTTCATTACATTAATATCAGTGTATTTATATCTGATTTCTCCTTGATGTTTAAGGTTGATGCAAACCTAAACATTTTAAAGTAATTAAAAACAAGCTTCTAGCAAAACTTACTGCCCATGAGCAAGTGCCAATGCATTATGGACGATTCTTTGTCACACTTCTTAGAGAATTTGAAATTAAGCTGAAACTATGGGGTAAGGGATTCAAGACAAAATATTAGTTGACCACCTGCCTTAACTGGATTTTTTTTTTTGTAAAATAAAATAAAAAGGGGTGTTATTTTTTATCAGTCAATCAATCATATTTTCCCCGTTTTTAATAGTTTCAACATTTTCTAGATTCATGGGTTCAGTTCTCATCGAAACAAAAAACTNGCGGTTAAAAGAAAAAAGGTGCTGAAAATTCTTGGAACCGGTTTTTAAAAGAAAACGTTTTTCATTAAAAACTGTTTTCTAGCGTGTTAAAGCATCCCAGAGGTTTAAAGAAAAAAGTTTCTGAAAAATCCTGAACCTAGCGGTTGAAAGCAAAAAAGTTGCCGAAAAATTTTAAAACCAGTGGTGGAAAGAGTTCTCTGTCATAAAAAATTATTTTCCATGGTGGTTAAAAGCAACCCAGTGCAAGAAGTTAAAAGGAAAAAAGTTGCTGAAAAATCTTTAGCCCAGCGGTTGAAAGCAAAAAAGTGTGTTTAACTACTAAAAAGTTTTAAAAAGTGAATAAAAATGTGAATGAAAAAAGCACGAATTTATTGATTGAACAAATTTTAAATTTGAGAAAAAAAGGCGCATTTCTTATTCTGAACTGCGTAGAGTCTAGGCTAGATCTCAACCGCTGGTTCAACCGCTCCCGCTGAGTTTTTTTCTCCAAAGTATATATCATTCGAAAAAATGATTGAATTAATAGAAAAATTAACTTTTCATCAAAAATTACATTTTTTTGGCACACCTGCCTTAATTGGATTTTATTTTTGTAACAATTTTATTTTTGTAAAATAAAATAAAAAAGGGGTGTTATTTTTAATCAGTCAATCAATCATATTTTCCCCGTTTTTAATAGTTTCAACATTTTCTAGATTCATGGGTTCAGTTATCATCGAAACAAAAAACTAAATAAAAGATGTGGGGAAATATCACATAATCAATTAATAAATCAAGCCATATGTAAGCAATCCCTCAATCAATCATATAATCAATCATGCTTTCAATCATGCTATCAATCAATCAAGATATTTTTTTTTGATGAAAAAACTTTTAAAAACATGGAAAAATGTGGAAAAAGTGGGAAAACATATTTTTCCAACCTTTTTGCCCATATGCAAAATATCATTCAATCCATGAATCCAGAAAATCTGAAAATATTATCAAAGTGGGAAAATATGATAAAATAGGGGGAAAATAGGTGCAAAAAGGATCTGAAAACCATCAACTTTTTTGCTGAGATTAATAATGAGATTCTTGACTAACAAGCAGGTGTTTAAAGCACCTACCTGGTATTTAACAGTATCCTCCCATTTCATACCTTGAATAATCAGAAGTATATCATTCCTCTCCTGAAGTTGTTTCAAACCAGGGATCAAAGGGCTCATGAACAGATGCAGGTTTTCATGCGTATCCTGACCCTAAATTAAACATAACTTAGGAAGAAGATGTTTTATTTATCAATTTAATCAATTTTGTTTTTGTCAGACACAGTAATTTGATAAACTACAGATGGACATGTTACCCTAGCTAATCACCTAATTAAGTAGTTAATCATAATAACTTTCAATTTTAAAGTTTAATTATTGAGCAGTAAAACACAAAAACTTTTAGGTTTAAAACTTAATTACCTCAAACATTCCAATCAGTGATATGTTTTTTTTCACCATATTATTTTCTTTCAGTAGCACACTGTTTGAAGAACTCCAAAATTGTAATAAATCATTAGAAATTCAAATGTTATGTGCTAATTGATTTGGCAAACATTTTGTTAAATCACATTAACTGAATGAGTTGTCCTTTTCACATACAATATTACAAAACTGGCATTCCTGGTGTGAAGTTTCATGCAGTTTACTTTCAAAGTTATCGATCCACCTTTATCCCCACCAAGGACAACAACTTGCTTGCCATCTGAATAAATAAGTGGTGGTTAGTTGTAAAAATTTTAAACCGTTAAATTTTCCCTACAAATCTTGCTATTGTCTTCAAACTAATTAAAAACGAACAAAAATCCTTGTTTGATAGGAAATTTGTTTCAAGTTTGATGATCCATTACCCTTCCCTGGTGTCATGTGATGTCCCACACAAAATTGTGCTCAGATGTTACACAGTTATTGGATACCTGGTTTTAGAAATGGGATGTAAAAAGGTAACTCACCAAGGAGAACTTTTTCACTTTCATCAAAGGCAGAAAGTTGATCCATGACATGTCCATAAATATCAACAATTCTTGCAAACGGTTTCTTCTGTGTCTCATTGCATTGTGTATCCCTATTTATATATATATATATATATTGTGAGAAAAAGACAAATTGTGCTTCATCCATTTCAAGGACATAATCAGGAATTTGTCAAAATGGTTGTTGAAATTGATGTCACAATCCAAGTTTTTTTTTTGGGAGGGGGTCAAGCCTCAGCAATCGGTTGGACCTAAAAACCAGCTCAATTCAATCTCACTTGTATAGGGGGGAGGGGGGGGGGCAAGTAACTGTAGCCACCCCTGGTTACATATGTTAACCATTTTTTGTTCTCTATGTAATATTAATCCCCTTTAAACTTGATATTACTGATATTATAATAATACATACTTGAAGAGTGAGATGAAACCCTTCTCATATTGGCTCATCAGTTGTTTCATAAGCTCATGCAATGAAGTAAAAGATGGTAGAATGTCTAAGAATACAATTAATCATATCATTAACTAATAATAAAGTAAATAAAGTATAATAGAACAATAACAACTGTAACCATTAAGAATTGTTGATATTTTTCTGTTAAAGTAAAAACTAAGTATATTTTATTTTTAATGACTGGAAGTAACCAATAAGGAACTGGCTAGAGCTAGTTGAAACATGCTTGGGCCAAATTGGAAGAAATATAAATACTTATTTATACTTATTTCTTTAAAAGAGTGTACAAACGAAATAACTATCTATGAAGAAACAATATATAAAAGAATATTGACAGTTCACACCCAAGAAGAAAATTATAGTTTTGAGTTTTTCTACCTGCATTAATTTTGATGAGTGCTGATTTGACTTTCCTCAAACTCGTCTCAGTGATGTGAGCTTCTCTCAGGAGGCTTATGGTTTGAGAAGGGCTTAATCGCTTTACACGTTCTTCTGTGGTGTTAAATTTATCTAAACAAAGACAATTTGAATCAAGAACTACTCCTGACCCCAACATTGTAAGGGGCGTATGAGGGGGGGAGCAATGGAGAATTGAATGTTTCATAGGTACATTGGACATGCGATTAAAAAAATGCAGGTAAAATTGAAATTACGCCTGTATTCCATTTAAGTCTAATTACATCGTATAGGAAAAACTACTTTAAAATCTCACTTTTGCGCTAAACTAATAAAGTTTCATTAAACAAAGCTGTAATCAATACTGTCTTCAGTGTAAATATGTATTTTATATCATAATTGAGTTGTTTTGTATACACATTTTAATACTTTTCTTCAAAAGGGGGGGGGGCACAATGTTGCCAAGGGGGGGGGGACACATATGCTCTTATACGCCCCTGAGGCAGGTAGCTTGGATTTTGCTAGGCATTTTTTTGGAGCAGTAAACCTTAGAAAAAGTCAAATATGGCTAAGGGTTCTGTTTGAGCGCCAAGCTTTAAGCCTGAAATGTTTTTTTGAGCTTTTAACAACATTAAAAAAATAGTTTGATATTTTCAAATGGTCCATTTGATTGCATAAAAGATTTCATTCTGGTACAAACTTGTAAAGTATTGATTACCTCTTGCATAACTGATAAAGTCTTCTAGGAGAGCTACCTCATCATCACAGTTGCCAGCTGCCAGAACTTTTAATGTAAATAACATTTCCCCCAGCCTATGATATCTTGCACTTCTCTTTAACTGTCGATAGTTTTGACGATAATTCTTTTGTGAAAATGCAGCTGGTGGTGAGGGTGATGGAGATGGTGATGATGATGTTGATGGTGATGTTGATGTTGCTGATGATGTGGGTGCTGATTGTGGTGGGGAAGGTGGTGATGTTGGAAATGGTGACATTGATTGCAGTGGTACTGCTGATTTCAAAAGATCAGATGATGCTGGTGGATGTGGTGATTTCACAAAATCCTTTGTTTTTCTGCGTAGCTGACGCCCAAAAGACTCTCTCCTCTTTGTCTTACGAACTCCACTCAGATGCACACAAAGACCCAAACATTTAACAAGCTGAAGCTGCAATGCCTAAAAACAAATTTTACTCCAACAATTTTTATGTTATGATTTTATGATATCAACCAAAAATTTTGAAACAAACAATTTTGATGTTGAAAATATATAATAATCAATTCATAAATATATGTTCCAACTATCAAACTCACCTGGAAATGATTAGGTGTCGATTTTATAAACAGTGGAGGCTGATGACCTGAATATTCTATGGGTAGATACACATCATGATATACCCCAGAGCTCAGTTTCTCCCCCTGTAAAGGAGATAGAACTACTATTATTCTTCCCAGTAAGTCAGCAAATAATTTGAGCTCAGGGACCCCCATCCAAGTAGTTGGTATACTCATTCTTTCCAAATACTCCGTCTCATTGAACAAGATGCTGGAACAAAAAACGAGTTAACAATTTTTACAAATTAGTCATGAAAAGTGACCTCTGTCAGCTCCGATTTTGTATCTCAAGCCTCGTTGGACATAAATAGCCCATTTCTTGGTAATTTCCTAATATACGATTTTTGGACCCGCCCCCCCTCCTATCAATTTTGTACATGGGTGTGACAGGAAGTTTCTCAACTTAACCTAACCCGTGGCCGCAGCGCTCGGCCCCCTAGCCCATCCTAGCCGCAGCGCTCAGCCCAGAAAGTGTCTTAACTAACCTAACTTGTGGCCGCAGCGCTCGGCCCCCTAGCCCATCCTAGCTGCAGCGCTTGGCCCAGAAAGTATCTTAACCAAACCTAACCCTAAATAACAAAAAAATAAATAATAGTAAATTTGCTGAAAAATAAATGGTCATGTACAAAATTGATAGGAGGGGGGGGGGGGGGTCCAAAAATTGTATACTAGGACAGACCCCATTTCTTATAGAGGGTGGCTGGTTCTAATTTTAAAATTTTTCGACAGTTATATTAAATCGTGGTCTACAACCTGTCATAACAGAATCAGGGAAGAGAATACATCATATTCTAATACAATGGCTCAGAGTGCAGGTGGGAGTAACACAGATGGAGGAGGAGGTTCTACAGAATGGATACATATGGACATACCCTCAAAAGCTAAGGATAGTATTTTAAAGATAATAGATAACATAACTAATACCAATGACTTCACTGATATGTCAGACGACAATGATCTTCAATTCTACACTGGAAAAACCAAGCCTCTTGTAGTCCGTGCTACAGCTCAATCTACAGCACCCTGTTTGGTTATAGTCTCTGAACCCACACCTACTGCTGCATTTCCAAAAGAAATGAACACATTCGATCGTCAGGGAACCAATCCTGACCATAATGGATATGGAACTCTCAGGTTAGATATTCCTGATGGTTACGTATTCAATGCAACTACTGCTATCTGGTCTAACTGCAAGTTCCCTGACAAGTTACATGAGGTATTGGATGATCCAGATCTCATCAAGTCTAGGATAGAAGGTATCACAGTGAAGACAGTATATGTAGTGTTGGGTGCAGAGTCTATCACTAATGGTATAGTTGCTAGTCTCATATTATGTAAATATTCTATAGTGTATAATATTAGTTCATCTAAAGTAGTGTTTGGATTGACCAAGAATGGCGTTTATGATATGTTCAAATATGATAATTTACAAAGTTTTGTAATCTGTGATCGTAAAGAGATATATGCCCTGTGTATGAGTACTCATGTTAAGCAAGATGTCAAGATTCGATCTATGCTAGTCTACTTATTTCCACATCTACAGCTAGCATATTCTAAAAAGTATAAGGATTATACTTTCAAAGAAGCTGGAAAGATTTGGAGGATGGGGGTTCCTGCTGATGTTGATGCTAGCAAGTCATTTGCCATGGTAGGCATATACTCATTAGGGTATTGTTATACTAAGCAAGATATGGTTGCTGGTCAAATTGCTAGGAGATTACTTGCTGCTGCAAATCAGGAAAGTATTCCTGGTACAGACCAAGCTACTATTGAATCAGCTATGGTGAATAGTGGGTTTGAAGTGGATAAGAGCAGAGGAGATATTGATATGATTTATGGTTGGATAGTAGCATTAGACAGGAGTTTCAACTACAATCCTGAAATACACACAGATGATCTCATCACTGCCACTGAGATGGAAGCTTCATGGGGTTGGGATAAAGTGAGCACAGCCATATTTACACAGCTACGACTGATCACTCAGAACATGAGATCCACTAGTCTTCGATTTGGGATTACCGGGATTCAAGGTGCAGAGCAGATTCCAAACTTATTGACTAAAGCTATGGAGAATGAGATGGCAAATCTGAAGATTCTCAAAGAAGAACTTTTGAACAGACCATACACTGGATTGGTGAGGATGCTCCCTTTGAAACATCAAGTTGTGACTAACAAGGCAATGATCTATTTTGGTCTTCGCTATTACAACAGAGGACTGGATGAAGAAGGCAAGAAGTCTTTTGCCAGATATGAAGTCAATGCTGTAGGAGGCAAACTAGATCTATCCCTTCGTAACAGAATAGACAAAATGGTAGACCTCACAGCTCATACTGGATTACTTAATGATGTTGAGTTGATCCAAGATTCTAGTCTAAGGGATGCTGAGCGCTTCTTTGGACTCTTGAGTGTAGAAAACCAGGCAGTTGTTAGAAGAGAACTAGAAAAGGCAGATCAAGGAGGCCATTAAGAAGAAACTGAAGCAGGAATATGAAACTATCAACAGCCAGTTGGAAGCGAAGAAGAGGACAACTAGAGATGATGCTCTATTAGCACGTCTAGACAAAGCTATGAATGATCTTCTCTCAAACTATGGTAAAGTTGTTAGAAGCTTCATGACTCATGATCTCGAGTTTGAACCTGGCACCTCTTTAGAGATGAGGCGTGAAATGAGAGCCTGTGCAGTTGATTTCAAGGATCTTCTAGAAGGTTTCCAGGAACTCATGGGTGATATCACTACTAATCTGCTTGTGTGAACTGTTATTTGAATATGTTAATTTTAAAAATATTTTTTATCAGAACTTGTCATTTTTTGCAATTAAAAAAAATCAAAAAAACCCACTTTTTGACACCATGTTTTGACATTAAAAACTTTATAAAAAAATTATTATTTTTTTGTGTATTTTAGAGGTCATTGAGAGTAAATATTTAAAAAATGGGCTATTTATCTCTAAGAGACAAAAAATAAAAATCCAGAGCCGATAGAGGTCACTTAAAAAATTTCTTACTTCCCACGGGTTCTTTACAATAAATCTCATACAAAATAAGTTAATGCAGGTATTACTGAGAAGTATCATTATCCTGGAGAATTAAACCTTGGTGTACGCCAGGCTCACTAAAAAACATGAGAATCAGTTTTTTTTCCTGATCATGAATCTGATCTATGAAGCTTTTGATCTGAAGGGAATTTGATGTAAGAGTAATCTGATCTAATGAGAATTTAATCAAAAAACGCGGAAATTGATCCAAAGTTAATTTTTGATCTAAGTCCGCAGTTTTCCGAACATTTTTGGAAATTGTTTTAAAAATAGTGGAATTTTATGTAAAATAGCTTCTATATATAAATTTGGCTTGTCTGTCTGTTTGTTTGTTTGTCTGTTTGTCTGTCTGTCTGTTTGTAACCAATAAACGTCAAAACGGCTGAACTGATCGGGCCCAAATTTTTTGTGGGACATCTAGGGACCCAAGGGAAGGTTTATGAATGATTTAAATCAAAATATTTGTCTCCATCAAAATTCGATCTTCATTAAATTTTAGAAAATTTTGAAAATCCACAAAATTTTTTGTGAAAATCAGCAAATTATTTTTGTTTTGTTTTACAATGTACACAAAAAGAACATGTTCACAATTAATTTAGAAGATGGGCTTGAAGCGCCCTCTAATGCTAGTTTGTTTAAATTTGATTTTTCATATTTATAACTTTTAAGTGAAGAATTATATTTGCTTTTCCCCAAATTATACCTGTTGTGACACCGACCACCTGGACACACATCAGAGTTGTGGACATAGCGTGCATGATTTTCTATACCATATCTTGGTTTTTCTAAAATAAGAAAAAAAGTCAATGAAAATCCATGGTTTACTAATTAAATTTGCCTCTTTTAAACTTAAGTTCATGAATCATTATAGATTAGTAAATTTGCGATTGATTTAAAAAAATATCTTTATCAAGAAAAATTACCCGGTAATTTAATTTGAAATTGTTGAAAAAGTCATGTACAAAATAGATACGGGGGGTGGCCAAAAATCGTTCTCTAGGACGGACCCTAGCACCCTAATGAGCGTTATTTAGAGACATTGTTTTGGTTAACAAACAAAAAAATTTACCAGTCGAACGCTCATAAGGTCATGCATAGCACCCGGTAATTTCCTCAAGAAAGATTTTTCGCAGCTCCTATCCATTTTGTACATGACTTTTTCAACATTTTTAAAATAAATGTAAGACATGTGGCCGCAGCGCTCGGCCCCCTAGCCTGTCCTAGCCGCAGTGATCGGTCGAGAAAGTGTCTTAATCTAACCTAACCCTAAATAAATACTAATTTATTTGAAAATTGTTTAAAACGTCATGTATACAATTGATAGGAGGGGACGAAATGGCAGGGGGAAAGGGAAAATATCGTTCTCTAGGACGGACCCTAGCACCATAATGAGCGTGATTTGTTTTGGTTAAAAACAAAAAAATTTACCATTAGAATGCTCATAAAACGCCAAAATATGAGCTCTGAGTAGAACCCTGTGGGTTTCATTCCCATGCAGCAAGACACTTATAGTCCTGAAATGAAAAAGGTATTAAGGTTTGCGACAGTGGGGTGGGGTCCCAATCTTAATCTCAAAAACCTAAAGGTTCCCAAAAAGATCTCACCTGCTTAAACAATTTCCATCCCCTCTGACGTCTCGGACAAAAGCTTCTCCATCCTCAAACCTCTCTCTGAAGCACTCAGAAATCTTCATGTCTAAATATATATATATTATAATGTTGTCTGCTCAGCCCATAGTTAAAGTTTTTTTTTCTGTTGGGTGGTGAAGATTTTGTTGTTTTGAGAGGAGGGTTGCTTTTATGAACAACTAAAAAAAAATCTGAACAACGCACATCTCTACTATTTTTGTGACTTACCGATCCCTCTGGTTAAATACTGACATCCTTAGTCTAAAACAATTATAGAAGTTTAAAGTATTCTGTTATTTTCATCTTATTAATAACAGTTAATAAACTCAAAGTCTCAAACATATTCTGTCTGTTTGTCTCTTTGTTTGTATGCAATAATGAACATCCAAACGGTTGAATCGATCCCATGATATTTTTGTAGTTTTGACACCAAAACTTTGTTTTAGTTTGTTTAACAATGCATACAAAAAGAAAATGTTCACAATAAATATTAAAAATGCGAATATTCTCGTAATAAATATTGATTTCCGTCCAAAATTATAAATGCAAATTGTACCTAGCGTACTCATTCTGATATATTCTCTTTTTCTTACATTCTGAAAGAAAACACTCGTTCTGTGTTGTTGTATGAAAATGTTTTCACAAAGCATCAATCAATATAATAACATAAAATGATTTAAACTCTTAAAACTTTTACATGGTATTTAAAATATTTAAAGGCTGTGACCGGCAATTTTAGATGAAGAACCCGTAACATCTCGAAAAATATTAATAGCAACCGGTTGTATTTGTTAATGTAGACTTATATAATTGCCTAGGAGCAGGACATGAAGTTTGATTGTCAAAATCTCTTTCCGGAGACTTGGAACCTCTGAAAAGTACCTCCGTCGCCAAAGAATTTTTATCTTAGTCCTTGTTGGACAAAAGAAAAGTGGGATTTGTCAAAACAAAACATAAATAACTCCCCGTAGCACCCCAAAAAATAATTGCTTGAATTTGTTTTGTCCTCAATGTGGTAGATTATAATTTAAATAATATTTTCTCTTATCTTTTGCTCATATATTTTTAGTAAGGGCTAGTCACTTTTTGCATTTAAAAAAACGCACTTTTGACACGCAGTTATGACATCTAGAACTGAAGAGATTTTGACATTCGGACTTCATGTAAAATACTGAAATCTCAGTAGAACGCCCGTACTTTGCCGGTCAATTCCTTTTAAGCATGAAAATCAAAACTTCTTGTCAGTTAAGAATTAGACAAAAATAGACTCAGTATTGGATGCTGCAGCCTTTTAACAGTCGCACCTGAAAACACAAAAACAAACAATTATTTAAAAATAAATGAAAGCTAAATTTAGCTTTGATAAGAAAAAATGGATTAAACATTAAATCATTGATTTTGACACACAACAGATTGATTTGAATAGAAAAATCATTAACATTATAAATCAAAACATGAAAGACTTCTCTTGAAAGTTCTCAAAGTGAAATTAGACACAATTTTGTTGAAACAGTTATCTATAAAATCCCGATATAATCCTTAAATTAAGCCTAACGTTTAAAAAAGTGATCAGTCCCATTTCAAACTATTTTAATTGCTTTTTCACTCACAAATCTTCGTTATATTGTACTAAACAAGTGTTATTAGTAAAAGCAATGACCATAAATTGTATTCAGTCCCTTGTCCTAAGAATTTCGTCATTTGTTTTTTAAAAATCCTTGATCCTATGATTTAAATAAGCATTTTTGTCTATACAATCGCATATAAACGTAATCATAACATTACCATTTAGATTTCCATGAAAATCTTGATGAAATAGACCGAGCACAATTGCAAATATTATGTTTAGTTTAATATTAAAACCATATTTTAGGAAAATATGTTGTGGTTCGATCAACAAGAAGTATTTTTTAAAACAATACAAGGATGCTTAAAAGGTTAAAAAACCAATCCACATTTTTTTCAGAGACTTAATACTTCACCTGGTATGTTATTAATCATTATGACTTCTCAGCATCTATATCCATTAAGAAGAGTTTGGAGGAAACCTTCTATCAGGAATCTGCTGAATCCTGAACTAAAATACGAAGTTAAGCAACCAACTAATTATATTTCAGCCCCGTGTAAAAATGTTAGAAATTAATTTTAAAATTTTTTTTTACAGAATAAAGTGTGATTTGTCAAAACAAAACATAAATAACTCCCCGTAGTCCCCCAAAAAATAATTGTTTGAATTTTTTTTGTCCTCAATGTGGTAGATAATAATTTAAATAATATTTTCTCTTATCTTTGGCTCATATTTTTTTTATAAGGGCTAGTCAGTTGTTGCATTTAAAAAAATCACTTATTGACACGCAGTTTTGACATCAAGAACTGAAGAGATTTTGAAATTCGGACTTCATGTAAAATACTGAAATTTCAGTGGAACCCCCATACATTGCCGGTCAATTCCTTTTAAGCGTAAAAATAAAAACTTCTTGTCAGTAAAGAAGTAGACAAAAATGGACTCAGTAGAGGATGCTGCAGCCCTTTAACAGTCGCACCTGAAAACACAAAAACAAACAAATATTTAAAAATTAATGAAAGCTAAATTTACCTTTGATAAGAAAAAACGGATTAAACATTAAATCATTGATTTTGACACACAATAGATTGATTTGAATAGAAAACTCATTAACATTATAAATCAAAACATGAAAGACTTATGTTAAACACTTTTAATAAGGCTCAAAGTGATACAATGATGTTTAAAAAACCAATCCACATTTTATTCAGACTTAATACTTCACCTCGTATCATATTAATCATTATGACTTCTCAGCATCTATATCCATTAAGAACAGTTTGGAGGAAACCTTCTATGAGGAATCTGCTGAATCCTGAACGAAAATACTTAAGTTAAGCAAACAACTAATTATATTTCAGCCCCGTGTACAAATGTTAGAAATTAATTTCACAATTTTTTTTTACAGAAGATACGCCTTTTTGACAATGATAATGAACTGATTGCAATACATTTTGAGGGGGGTGGGTGAGTTAGAAAAACTCACTCTAATTAAGAATCTAAACACCTGCATCTAGTCTTCATGAAACAGAACCTGGTCAGCAACATAACCGTTATGAAGCATCCTGATTAGAATGAGTATGCATTTCTAAAAATATTCATCAGTCATAGCGTTTGTTACACACAAACAAACCAAAAACAAACAGTTTAGTCCCTTGAAGTTTTAAAATCAATAGTGGATATGTAACTGTAAATAAAACATTCAAGTCAGGTCAATCTATATGGTCACATCGGTCACATTAGAAGAATATTGAAGCAAGACTCCAGGGAGAGAAGGGGGGGGGGGGGAGAGGATTACGGTCAACCTTTGGCGGTGAAAATTTATATCGGCTGACACAAAGGGGGATGGGGGAATCATTTTATGACCCACCCCCCTATAAATCCCACAAATATTGTACATGACCTTAACATTATTTTTATCCAACAAAAGATATTTTTTGGTTAATTTTTTTCTCATTTTATTTAAACTATTCTTGTGTCATTTGAATTTTTGTCCAGCGAAATATTTGATATGATGATTGTTTTATCATTAAATATAAAAGTTTAACTTGAATGGGTCCGTTCTAATATAGATTTTGGCCCCAGCCAAAATATATTTATTCATTATTTACTAGTTTATGATTAGGTTAGCTTAAGACAATTACTCGGCCGAGCGCTGCGGCTGTGACAGACTAGGGGGGCCGAGCGCTGCGGCTAGGACAGGCTTATGGTCCGAGCGCCGCGGTTAGGACAAGCTAGGGGGCCGGGCGCTGCGGTCACATGATGAATTATATCCATGTATTACATATGAGATCCAGGGTACAGAATTTATAGGAGGGGGGGGGGGGCCCAAAAATCGTATATTAGAAAATTATCAAATTGCATATCTAACAGTACAAAGATTAAGCAATGTGAACTGCATGTAGTGACGTTGTTCTCAGTAGTAAGAATGCACAATAGTTCAGACTACCAATAGTTCAAAAATCAAACGGCAGTATAGTTCAAATGAACATTAACTACAGCCACACATGCCCATCATTCATTTAATTAGCGATAAATATCACGCAAATTATAACGTCATTTCAATTCGGCCGAAACAACATGTTTATATAATAAACAAACAAGTTGCGGCATTCTCTCAAACTTTTGCATTTAACCGAGGGCCCCGAAAACAAACAAAAAATCTAAATTTTTATAAATAAAAAAATAATTAACACTAAACTATAAAACAACGATGAAAATGTAGGAACATACAAATTTTTTTTTAACAAATGATTATCTAATTAGGTTTCAATGTGTCTTCAGTGCTATCTATCGATCATCATTCTATCTATCTATCTTTAAAAAAATTCACCAATAGGAGAAAAATAAAGAAATTTAGCGGCGATATCAAATGGACTGAATTACTACTAATCATACTAGGGTGAATTGTACATCAGACAAAAAATTTCTTATTCAAATGGAGCACCGTCTGCAAAGTATGTATAATCATATTGTAGGGCGGATCGCGATAGTTGTATCTCCCTTCTATTCCATACTCCTTGGTTTAAAAGTCGGCTTCCTATTCCAGAGTTATCTAAACGTTTATCACTGTGCCATCAAATGACGGCCTAATTAAATGAAACCTATGTAAAATATTTTAGATTTTTGAAAATATTTTACCTTTTGGCAAAAAAAAATCTGGACTGAGTGTTTTATGTCTCTCATTATAAAATAAAATATCATGTTACCATCTGGTTCTGGGTAATATATTGGTATGTTGTAGAGAATTCTATATATAGAAATGTTAAAGGAAATAGAACGGGATTTATTGAATGGAACTATAGTTTAGTGGATTAGTACATTATTTCATTATTTATTTTTAGAAATTCATAAATTCTGTTTTACTTTTATATTTTATCATGGTTAAAAAAACCTTAAAATACGTAAATAATAGAGCCACATAAAAAATTAGCTTTTCTAAATTTTCTAAAGGATTGTAAAATCGGCAACAAGATAGCAATGCTATATTCACAACGGTACCCATGAAACCTTTTTCTGATCAATTATGTGAAACATTTCGTCTTTTTCTAAGCTGAAAAGTGTTTCATAATAAAAAATTCCTGGATTCCTGCAGTGGAAATGCACAAGTCAGTTTTATAAAAGAACAAAAAGCACAAAAAAAGAGACAATTGTCCAACTTGTACTTTATCAGACCAAGCTTTTAACACTTAAGTCCATTTATTAGAGAAAGATGATTGCAGTCTAAAAGTTACTTTTAAAAACTAACTGTTAGATACATGTGTTTCATACTGTTGAAGGGTATTAAAATAAGTATATGACACCCCCCCCCTCCCCCGCCAACCATGAGTGTCCACAAAAAAATTAAGCCCAATCGGTCCAGCCGTTTAGCCGGCTATACGCAACATATATTGAATGTTTTATTTTAAAGATATTGTCCTTTCGACTTTATCTTTATAAAGCTCTAATGTAAAAAATAAGAAGAAATGATGCTGTTGGCTCTGTCTCTTTACTTAAACTAAAGAAACTTACACACTTCTAGGCCTGGCCAAAGTTTGTCGCAAACATCGTAGCAATCCTCATATTTGTTAACCTGAGCATACCTAGATAAACATGAGCTAAATAACATGAGTAAAACATGCATTGTGACTAGATTAACTATATGTCATTATATATCCATGTTAATCTTCTTAAAAAGTACATTCAACGTAAATTACGCTGAAAATATGTGTAGAGTTAGCTTAACTATGTTAAATCTACCCTCGCTAATCTTATAAATACATACATTAAACCCATTCAATGTACATATTTATATATTACTCCGTCATACCCATATTGTAATTGTTTAACTATGTTATTGTAGCCATGTTTGAGACATTGATTAATAGATCGCTATTGTCCAGTTTGTATAGCAAACAAGATCATGCCCAGGGTTAGTGGCATTAATAGTTCATAGGATTGTAGCCGTGTGGATTGTGTCCTGTTTGAGACATTGATCAATAGATCACAGTTGTTTGGTTGTCATAGCAAACAAGATCGCGCCCAGTTGTAGTGGCATTAATAGTTCACAGGATTGTAACCGTGTGTTGACATTGATAGTCAAGAGAATCTGAGCTGTACCTGGATAAATAATTGTTCGAGAAATTGTTCTGCAGTAGGCATTTACTATAAGATCACATCTAATTAAAGAAAATGAAAAAAAGGAATGGAAAAATAAAGATTTAAAAAGAATTTTAAGAAATATTTGCAAAATTTTATTAATTTTTAATTGGTTTAAAGGGAGGACAGTTAAGGAATATCTACAGGTGTTGAAAAATCAAGATCAATAATGAACAGCAAATAAAAAAAACCACTAGCTGAACTAAAACTTCATTTTACAGTAAAATTAAATGAATAGCTACTTGAAAAGCCTTTACTATCAGTTGATTTTTCCACAATTAACAAACGGAATCAAAGAAGTTCAAATATGGCCAGCCCTACAGACTAGTGTGTAAAATATATATCTATATAATAAAACAAGACATTATATTTCCCTATAGCCGGCCAAATGGCTGGACTGAATGGGCTGACAATTTTTTGTGGACACTCAAGGGTGGCTTGGGGGGTGTTATAGGCTAAAAAATCTAAATCTTTTTTCAAAATTTTTTTTTCAAATTTTTTTTCCACGGCCAACACCAGGCCCTCCAGCTAGTAGGTCTATAAAATAAAACAAGTCATTTATATATGTTCCCTATAGCCGGCCAAACGGCTGGACCGAATGGACTTACACTTTTTTGTGGACACTCATGGGTAGCCTGAGGGTGACATAGGCTAAAAGAAATCGTTTTCTCGATCTTTATTCATTTTTTCCACCTGCAACGCAGTGCCCTTTTCAGCTAGATAATTATATAACACTAGAGAATTCTGCCTCTTTCTAACAAAAGCAATTTAATTTCCCTGAAAGCTTGTATTATTAAACAACACAGTTATTATTCAGGCTTACACACTAAATCTAAGCTTTACATTTTCAGGAGAAACCCCGCAGCCAGTGCAGAATGCCGAGTATATTTTTGTAACTTTTGACTTCCTCGTGGGTGTACTCGTCTTTGCTTCTATCGTGGGAAATATTGGTTCTATGATTACAAATATGAACGCGGCACGCGCAGAGTTCCAGAACAGAATGGACGCCATCAAACAATATATGGAGTTCAGGTTAGTTTAAAGGGACTGTGTAGACTTAATTTCAAGTAATTAAGGATTAATTTGGGAAGCGGAATTATGAAACAGGGACAATGAAGAAATTGTGAGAATTCAACCTTATAGGAAAAAAATCATTATAGCATTTGCTACTCAGATAGGGACTCTAAGAGATCTGTTATCAATGGAGAACTATCACTTTTGTGAGGGGAGGGGAGGGAGGGACACATTTTTTCTTTTCTTCTAGTGTCTTTTCATGTAGTTCCTAGTGCCTGTTAGTCCCTGGCTTATAGTCATATTCACGCTGCATGTAAATCCCCTTTTACTGTCCAGAGCAGGTTTTGTATTTCATCATTCAACTAGTCATATTTGTCCACTATATAGTCCCAGTCCCTTAATTGTAGGTCTTTGCAGTCCTAAGTTAAGTAAGTAGTTCCTGGCAGTACTTGACGATCTTTCGTCTGTCCATCCATAACACCAATACTTAATATACTACTTTCTGATCGAAGTCCCTCTGTCCTTGTTTTTCCTCTTATAGTCTGCGAAAGTCCTAATAGTCCCATATAATCCTTATTATATTTCTTGTTATTCTTCAATTAGGATGTCAGGTTTTGTGTAACATTGAATAATATATATATTGAAATACTCAAGAGAAGTAATTCATATATATAAAAGTTTTTTGAGATAAAATCAAGAAAATAGTTAGAAATTCTGTTAGAAATGATGCGCGAAGTGCAACAGAAAAATTTTGTTATTTTTTTTTAATTTGTAAAATGTGTTGAAAGTTGGTCCACAATCATGATCATGCTTGAATCAAGTTAGTGGGGAAGGGCGAGAGATGGGGGCAAAATATGCTGAGGGGGGAAACTTGGTTCGCCCCCCCCCCCTAGTTTCGCCACTGATGCATTTAGGGAAGTAAGTTTAAATACGTCTACATTCATTAGTTGTTACAGAATTCTAACTTTTACTTCAATTAACTGAAATAGAATCTTGATTAAATGTTCAGAAAGGAATTGAGTTTTTGGCACAAACTCAAATTTTCTGATCCCAATATCTTTGCAATCTGATGGTGCAAACCTTTGATATTTCAAACTTAGATTATTTTATCTATAAGTATTAATAGTTTGAAATATCTAAGGTCTACGACATTGTGTTCCAAAGATATAGAGATTAGAAAATCAGAGTTTGTGGCAAAAACTCAATTCCTTTTTAAAAGAATATGAGTTTGCAAAATGCGAACATTTTTCTAACATTTTTCTGGAGAATTTTTCCTACAAATCCTTTTTGTTAATTAATGCAGTGTTTATCTAGAGAATTGTTGATAATAATAATATGTTTTTATAATGATGTTTGTAGGGGTTTTCTTCGTGATAATAACAATATTTTTATATGTATTAATTAATAATCCATTCTTAATGATGACAGGGGAAACCATAAGATATATTTATTATTTTCAACACGCATATAATATAGAATCTTCAATCAAATTCATCACTTTGGATGCTTTAATAATCAAAGTATCAAAAATGTAATTTGAAAGCATCAAAATCAACATTCGAAAGCATCAAAAGCAACAAGCAATCACATTTGATGCCTTGCTCATTCTTTTTAAAGAATTTATTAAGTTTTCAGTCAAATTATGACTTAATGAGTTAAGAATATGGAAGCATTGCTTATTCCTTTGCTTTTCAGATGGATTTACACCGCAAATTTTTCCTCATCGGTTGTGAAACCAGACGAAACAAATCCTTCATATTTCTGATTAAACCCCATTTTTGATGCTTTTAAGAAAAACCTGAGAAAGGCCAAGTTTTGGCGAGAAATGAAGCACCTTTAGAGATTTCAACGTTTTGATTTTTCTAGATTTTAGTGTTCATCAAAAGATAAACGTTTGAAACGTTACGTTGCAAATTATGACATTTTATGGCAAAGGGTAACGTTACGTAATGAATTTTCTGCACTTGAATATCTTATACAACGTTAAGCTTTAGTAAATTTTAGTGAAACAACAGTAAACTCCGTTACCCTTTTACATGTCCTGTTTTAAAAAACTTTCCCAACGTTGCGTTAAAGCTTCAGTAATATAACCACAACTTTTTAACGTTCCGCTTTCGTGCAAGGTAAATGTTTTCAGAAACCTTACACTTTCACTTGTTTTGAAAACTAAAAGGTGACGAAGGTTTTGCTTTAATAAAACGTCATTGGGGCATAGTTCTGCATGTTGCAATGAGTTTCAGAGCAAAGAATATTTTTTGTTAACGTTACGTTTTATCTTAACTTACCCAATATAAACTCTTTTAGTTACGTTTAGAAATTTTACTAAGATGAAACTTTTCTTACGTTACGATTTATTGTGAAAACTTTTTTCTGTTACACTATTTTAGAACTGGAAATAAAAACTGATTATTCTTTTTGTTTCTAAGAAAGATATGAAAACATATTCTTTCTATACGTTACGCTGCATTAAAATGTTCAGGCCTTATTGTTTCTTAATTTAGACTTCATTAAAAATAATATTGTTTCTAAATGAAAGCATTACAAGACTTTTTCCGTGATAATTGTATTCCTACTTTCGTATTTTCTTCCTAAACATGAACCATGCAAAAAAATTAGTGTCGTTAATGCCTTTTTTACTTACCCTGTATGTTGCTGTTGCATTGTTAACCTTTTTAGAGAATGTGTAGAAGAATGCAGCAATAAAAAGTTTTTATAATATTATTATTTAAACAGTTTTTAAAATTTGTGAATGAAAGTTTTTAGCATTAGACTTTCAACTCAAGGGTGTGTCTTAAAGGGACTAGACCTTCCATTTATGGAGTGGCATGTCCGGCTTACATTTACAAGATAGGAAAACGCTGGTATCAGATAAAGTTATGTACGTTACCATTGGGAATCTAGCATGGCCCTCTTTAAATGGAGGATCACTTGAAATTATCATCGTGTATTTTACGAGCTTAAAAAATAGACATATTTTGGGACACTTCATAAAATGAGTTAAAATTTGGCAGAGCAAAGCACTTGTGCATGTGGAACAGTAGTTCTAAATTATTTTACGCTAATTTAAGGTTATTTTTTTCTTTTTTTTTACTCAATGCAAACTGACCCTCCGGTGGATGTTCTTCTATCTAACAAAAATTCATAGTTTGAAATATCTAAGGTCTACAACATTGGGTAGCAAAGATATAGGGATTAGAAATATAAGTGACAACAACTCAATTCCTTTAGACTTTCTTCTCTATCAAAATTCATAGTTTGAAATATCAAAAGTCTACAACACCAGCTTGCAAAGATATAGAGATTAGACAAATTACAATTTTTTTATGTTACTGACAAAGTGAGTAAAAAAGAGACATAAGCTTTAGATTACAAATGCAAATGCAAAAAAAATTTTACAAATCGATTAAAAAGTTAGTTTTCTATTCTATTCTAAAGTTTAATAAAAATCTATTGATGAGCAAAACATAACACGCATTTTCCAATTAATAAAATATTTTTGCATTTTAGTAAGTATCTACATTTCTAAATTTTTCAACCTAAAACATGAACCTTGCCAACTGAAGTAGTGATTTCAATTAGTCAAATAAATATGAAACACAGCAATTGTGTACACAGACCCGTTCCACTTAATAAGTTGATTTTTTTGCTATTAGTAAATCATTTGCTTTATAACAGAAAATTAATGTGTAAAATTTCTTAAAGTATGTTTTAATGGGTTTCATTAAACAATGGCTAATCAAAAACCTTTAATGTCCAAGAAACATTTATAAGATTTGAATTTTCACTAATTGCATGTTACAAAAAAACACTTTAGAAAGGAACTGAGCTTTTGTCAAATAAACCTACATCTTTCCAACCGAATGGGTTAAACCTTTGATATTTCAATATTAAAGGTCTACGACATCGGGTTGCAAAGATATAGTAAACGAAAATTAGAGTTTGTGGCATAAACTCATTGCCTTTAAACTTGAAATGAAAAACCATTAGCCTTTGTTGTCATATTCATTAGTCAACTCCTAAGTTTCCTAAGTTGATAGATTAGAGACATATATATATATATATAACGTTAGACTAATCAATTTGGAGAAAAGTTAGGAAACGTTAAGATTTACAAAATTTAGTTTTTTAATGTTATACGTTACATTATTGAAATTTATACTCTGTATAAAAAAACCTTTGTTTCCTGATTATTAAATTAATAACCTATTCCTGAAACGTTAAACTTTTCATTATATTATTAGGGAAAATGTTTTAACACGTTTTCATAAATTGAAAGGCATTTTCAGTTATACAACGTTACACTTTTCATAAGTTTAACTTTGAAATAGAAATCCTTTCGTTACGATATGCAATCAAATTACAATTCATTTATCAAACGTTAGACTTTCAAGCTTTCCATGGAAACAAAACGACGTTTCTTAACGTTATGGTCAAACATATTGTAGATATTAGAAATATAACGTTACGTTACCACAAAACACTAACGTTTGGGGTATGTTCCTCTAACGTTAATGCTTAACGTTAACGTTCAACGTTCACGTTATATAGAATATATCCAAACGTTTCATATTATTGTAACGTAACGTACAAAAACGTACATTTTACGTTACGTTACACTATCGTTGACATCTCTAGCAGGTGCAGTACTTTCCCCCCCCACTCCCCACCCTCCCTCCTTTTTTGGATATAATGGCTTAGGATATCAAAATTGCCAAATTTCTTAATAGTAAGTTTTGACATGTACTCATGTTTCATTGCTGAAAATGGCAAATAGTCAATGGCCTGGGGAAATCTTAATTTGAAAAAAAAACATGCTTACATTGACATTCTTTTTGACGATGCAAAAAGACAATGGGACTTAGAATCTGTCTTGAACATTATCAAGCCTTAAAGAAGAACTGAGATATATTTGTGACTTAAGTTACAATGATATCTTTAAATATCTAAAGTCACAATCGTATCAAAGTCAAACTCTTGAACAAAATTGAACAAGAAAAATGCGACTTAGAAATTGTTGT